AGGCCAGACAGGGTGCCCGAGGGGGCAGCCGGACACGGGAGGACAGTGGAGAAGTGAGCGAGGACAGGACCCCCAGAGGGGTCAGCCAGGGAGACCGCAACCGGCCGACCAAGCGGCGTGAGTGTGGTGCGGTCTCGAAAGAAGGAGCGAGAAGCCCCAGAGTCAAGTGTAAAGGTGAGGGAGGCCGAAGCCAACGCGGTACCTGAGAGCGCAGCCTCACCCGCACCTGAGGAAGCAGACTCACTAGCACCTAGAGCAGCAGCCGCACCTGTACCTGGAGCAGGAGAGTCACTAGAACCCAGAGCAGCAGCCTCACCAGTAGCTAGAGCAGCAGGTCCTATACCTGGGTCAGGCGGGACGCACAGGTGACCGGCACGGTCAGCACTAGCAGGCAATGCATACATGGCAGTGAGAATACCATCATAGTCAAGAGCATATATATCTACCCTCTGCCTAAGCAACTCCACCCAGTCGGGAAGCTCAGCCTCGTCGCCAAACACGGTACGCCAGGCGTCGCTCAGACGGGCGAAGCAGCGGGACGGTGTATGACTACGTGTCCCACAAGGCTGACCAGTCCGAGTACCAGTGCGAATCACGTAAGAGCAGCGAACAGCACTGAGAGACCCTCCACTCTGAGCGTACCACTCACGAAGCTGGCGAGGCGTGAGAGACACGCGAGAGGGTCGCGGGAGCTGCATCTGGCCGCCACCACGAGTAGAAGCAGCAGGAGTGGTAGTAGGAGTAGCGTCGCCACCCCTACAGCCCCAACCAGCGTACCACTCACGCAGCTGCTGGGGCGTGAGGGACTCACGCCGGCGTCGCTGGGGCTGCATTTGGCTCCGCAAGTAGAAGCAGGAGCAGGACTAGCAGCAGGGAGGCAGGCAGCCAGGCAAGCCAAAAGGCAGGCAGGCAGGCAAGCAGGCGACGCGCAGCGTGCTAGCAGGGCAAGAGCTCACCAGTGGTGGGAAGAGTAGGCTCGGCGACTCAGCGGCTCGGCAGCTCGGCGGCTCGGCGGCTCGGGCGACTCGGGCGGCTCGGCGGCAAGGCGGCTCGGCAGCAACTGCAGCTCAGCAGCTCGGTGACTCGGCGGCTCGGCGGCAGGGCGGCTCGGCAGCAACTGCAGCTCAGCAGCTCAGCGACCCGGCGGCTCGGCGGCAGGGCGGCTCGGCTGCTGGGCGGCTCGGGTGCAGGGCGGCTCGGCGGTGGGGCGGCTCGGCTGCTGCAGGTGAGCGGCTCGGCTGCTGCAGTGGGAGATGAAGGAGGAGGAGAAGCAGGGGAGGCCACGCACCGCAAGCGGCCCCCTCAGGTCGCCTCGACAGGCGACGGGAAAAGGGGGGGGTGGGTGGTGGGGGCCGGTAGGTGCAGCGGCGGGGCCAGCAGGTGCAGTTGCGGGGCCGGTAGAAGGGGACGGCAGGAGCCGTCAGGAGGGGACGGCGGGGCCGTCAGGAAGGGACGGCGGGGCCGTCACGAAGGGACGGCGGGGCCGTCAGGAGGTGACCGGGCCGCGACGGGGGCAGGCGGCGGGGCCGCGTAAGGGCCTGGGCGGGGCCGCGACAGAGCCGTCGGCGGGGCCGCGTGAAAGCCGGGGCGGGGCCGCGTAGAAGCCGGGGCGGGGCCGCGCGAGAGCAGGCGGCGGGGCCGCGAAGGAGCCGGGGCGGGGCCGCGTGAGAGCAGGCGGCGGGGCCGCGTAAGGGCCTGTGCGGGGCCGCGACAAAGCCGTCGGCGGGGCCGCGTGAAAGCCGGGGCGGGGCCGCGTAGAAGCCGGGGCGGGGCCGCGCGAGAGCAGGCGGCGGGGCCGCGAAGGAGCCGGGGCGGGGCCGCGTGAGAGCAGGCGACGGGGCCGCGTAAGGGCCGGCGGCGGGGCCCCGTCAAAGAGGGCGGCGGGGCCGCATCAGTGAAGGCGGCGGGGCCGCAGGGGAAATGGCGACCCGAGGGGTCGCTAAAAAAAAAGATCGCGCCTCGGGAGGCGCTTCGGTGGGCCCAAAAAAAAACGGTCCGTAGAAGGACCCGCTCTATACCATGTGAGAATAAGCGAACAGGAATGAATGAACTAGAAGTGAAATGAGTACAAGTAGTAAACCCTAGAATTGTGTACCCCCTATAGGCTAACCCACTGTAGCCTACACAAGCATAACATATATAATGTTTGACAAGGCCCAGTTTAAGCGATCAGGGGACCCGTCAGCCTTCTCCAGGCAGGCACGGGTGGTGCAGAGGTGGATCAACGAGGGGCCCGTTGAACGGGATGGCGACTGTGTCGGCATTGGCAGCATCTGCATCGTTGGATGGAAGGAGATCCATGAAGCTGAGCTGGAAGCAGATGAGCTCGGGGATTTGACCCGAGATGACTTCACCTCCATGGCTGCTTATCGCAGGCTTCACAACGCAAACGAGCCGCAGAAGGAGCTGTTCTAGATGTGGCGTTTTTATTTATTGTAGGCGTAATTTCATCAATAGAATGTATTTTTGACTTTTTTAATATCATTAATATTCTGCTGGTATAGAACCCTAAACCCTAATAAATTAATAGCTTTTAACAGACCATTCTGTAAAAGGAGCGTAAATACGTTTTATTCGCCTTACTATATTTATATCACTTTTATATATTTTGCTACACGCCGCCCTACCATCTTTTATCAATATTTAATGTGTATCGTCATTTCCGCTAAGAGCACAGTGTATTTTTTTCTCATTACGTGGACTTCCACGATATCTCAAGAGTACTGTACTCACTAAAACAATTTTCCCGACTGACATTTTATCGAGATTGTTTTGCTGACGTGACATCGAACCGATAGAAACGTCGCGCCCAATGAACACAATCCAAATGTCCGCAACTGTATCGTGCAAAACCACCCGAGCAGTTGTGCAGGCTCGGCAGCCAGTCATTCGCCCAACTGAAAACAACCCGCAGGCTAGATGCCACTAGCATAGAAAACCAATCGCCAAAACCAGGCGAATGCCTGGAGCCGAAACCCAATCGCCAGCTAGTGGTTTCCCAACCAATTGCGGGACCCCCAAAATTCCCGATGCAGACCTGTCGTTGCCGCTCTGATTGGCTGCTACTGTGGCCTGCTACTTGCGTGCTCCCACACGACTTGAGGCAATTAGCTGGAAGGAGTGGCGGTCGGTGCGTCGCAGAAACCCTTGATTATCCCGAACCTGTTCCGAACCAGAGTCACCTTAAGACACGGAAGCAGGCTTGGTGATTAGGAGGCATTTGCAGAAATTGAAGGCAACTGGTGGGATATGCAACCATTGAACCCGACTTGGTAGATTGTTGGCGTTGTAGAGTGTGGCGAAGATCGGTTCATTACGATCCTAGAAGTTGCTGCATTTTATTGACGCGGTACATGTTTTCATTTTGCTAGGTTTTGGGAGGATCGAGACCTCACATCGAACCTGGCACATCGACCGGCACACTGATGTGCCACCACTGCAAATTTGCAGTGGGATAGACACATTGAGCTTTAGGTGCCAGGTTCGAAATTGCAGGATCGGGCAGGTTGGAGCTGCGTCATAATACACCAGCACACTGCAACGCGCAGCCAATCAGGGCAGAGCGTGGTTGGTCGCCCAGCAATTTCATTCGCAACGACTAGAGAATTTTTGGCCTGCGACCGTGGGCGACGCCGACCGATCGCGGCTGTCACCTGTGGTGCGATGTGCTCTCCCGCCAACCCAAACTCACGATCGATGTGTGCACCACGGCAAATCGATCGTGCGAGCTGCAGGTGCCACCATTTTGGGTACCCGTTTACTGTACATCTTCATCGTCTTGCGAAAAACGGATACCAGGCATTGGCGACGTCGCCAAATCACTGTACAAGCGGCACATCGAACCCCTTCCACGATCGATCATGGCAAATTGAAAACAGGTGCCGCGTCCTAAGGAATATCGATCACGATGATGGTTGAGAAGAAATTCTTGTCGGTTGGGGGAATATTGCTGGTTCGGAATCTGGTTTGGGACGTCAAACCAAAACCAGACAATCTGGTCCGTTCGTTGGTAGTTCTAGAGCTGTTCTGACCATACCGCGCCCCCGCGAACTGCTGGTTCTTGCTGTTGCTGCAGCGCTGGAGCGATGTCGCGAAAGCCAAGGCAGCGACATGAACGCGCGAAAAATCCAAGTAAAACAAGGTAAGGCTGCGGCTCGGCAAAGCAACTCTTCGTGGCTGGGGAAGCCGCAACAAAAACACGTGGCTGGTTTGGACGGGAGCGCCGCTGATGGAAGCTCATCCAATCCACCAGATAATCCAAAAGCCTTAGTGGGTTATCAGGTTATCATCAGTTGTCGGTGCGTGAAAATTTGTGTTTCGCTGACCGAGTCTGTCCGCATCCTCACTTTTCTGGGCTGAATTTCAGATTCATGGTTGTGTAACAACAAAACAAACTGTACACTTTCCAGATGCTGCATCTACAATCATTACTTCATGTGCGACAGAATTGACTCTTGGGTTGCAGTTGGCTTTTGGTGGCTGTCTGGATCACATGACATAACTTCCGCTATAGCATTATGGAACTTCTTATCGTTGTTGCCTACAGCTTAAAAGAATGCTACCACATATTTACATTCAGTATTCTGTTGGTGTTTCGAGATGGGTGATTCGAAGACAAAATCTTGCCTGCCACGTAGCAGATCTGACGTGCCACCATACCACTCCTCGCCACTATTCGCTACAACCCCGTTTTCTTTTCGCACGATATCGTGAACACTCAACCATCTCTTAGGCGAACCGGTTACTACCCTCTTCGCGTATTTCCCGAATCCACACCCCCAGATATTTCTTTCACCAGCCGTCCTCAAACCTTTCCTTTTTTTCCAACAATATTGCGAAGTCTTCCCGTCCTCTCCGAACCTCGTCGCCTATACAAGCCACATCCAACTTGGCGCATCTCGCGCAATAACGTTCGCCCTGCTTCGCCAAGTATAGTACGCGCGACAGTTCGCCGTTCCAACCACTCCGTCCCTTTTCCGCTCATTCCCGCCATTTTCCCCATGGAGGCCGCCGTCGGCGGAGCGTTGTTTCGCGGCCACCCGGTGCGCCTCAACAGAGCGAACTTTCCACGCGGGAATGCGCTGTTCGCAGGGCATTGCGGGAAGGTTCTAAGGGTAACCGCGTCGGCGGAGCAGCCGTCATGGCGCGCGAAGGCGGCGGCGGCGGGAGCGGGGACCGTGACGCAAGCCGTTGTGACAGAACACGTGAGTCACGCCCTCTTTTGTCACAACATTCTTAAGTACTAACCGTTCAAGTCGTGGACAACCGAGCTACATAAAAGGCGAACAGGAGCAATTGCATTCCCTTACACTCCAAGATAAAGGGCTCGTCTTTTTTCTCTTAACTTCCCCCACTACTTTCCAGCCGTGTTTCCGCCTTCCCCTTCCCCGTTTTCCCGTTTCCCCTTCCAGTCGCGCTCGCTCCACTCCGATCCGCATTCCCCGTTATGCTCACCCATCTTTCCCGGCCCCATCTCCCCACTTCCCTTCCCCCATTTGCCCCCCTAACGATCCCCCGCTCCCTGTTCCCCTTCACCCCTTCCCCCCCAAAATTCCCCCACCGCGCTCCTTCCCCAGCCCGCTTCCGCGTTCTCCGCGTCCGCCTCTCTCTCCGCGGACCCGCCACGCACAGCACCTGTATTTAACGGCGCAGCACCAGCGACAGCCAATGGGACCGCGCCAGCTGGCTCCGATACAGTGGCAGCGGGGCGCGCGGTGGCGATATACGACACCACGCTCAGGGACGGTTCACAGGTGGGGGACGAGTCGCAGGTAGGGAACGGGTCGCAGGTGGGGGACGAGTTGCAGGTGGGGAACGGGTCACAGGTGGGGGACGAGTCGCAGGTGGGGAACGGGTCGCAGGTGGGGACGAGTCGCAGGTGGGGGACGAGTCGCAGGTGGGGGACGAGTCGCAGGTGGGGAATGTTTCGCAAGTGGGGTGGGGTGGGGATCAGATGAGACGGATGGGGGTGGGTGGGTATGGGTGGGGATGGGTGGCTCCTCCTTTCCTCCTCAACTCTGCTTCTCTCTGCCTCCTCTGACGCTTATCCACAACCACATTGCTCACTTCTTCTTCCATTCCTTTTCCGCCCTCGTTACTGTCACACCCTCCGTTTGCCCCGTCCATCCCGACCAATCAGATGGTGGGAATCACCCTCTCAGTGGCGGACAAGTTGCGTATAGCGGAGCTCTTAGAGGATCTCGGGGTTGACTATATCGAAGCAGGCTGGCCAGGATCCAATCCCAAGGACGCTGAGTTCTTCCAGCGGTGGAAAGCCCGGGAGGCAGCAAGGGAGGGGATAGACAGGTTGACAGCAGCGGGAGGTGACAGTAACGAGGGGGAGAGGAGGCGGGCAAAGCTGGCGGCGTTTGGAGCGACTCGTTATAAGAACACGACGTGTGAGAAGGACGCGAACGTGCAGGCGCTGGTGGAGAGTGGAGCGCCCGTGATCACCCTCGTGGCCAAGGTATGGGGTTCGGTGTTACTATAACAAGGGACCAAGGCCATGGTACGGTGGGTGGGAGAATCCGACGAGGATAGAATACACGGTGCATTACTAGCCTGCTCTGCTCTCATCTCCCTCCTCCGCTGCCCTTTCGCTGCCCCCCTTTCTCCTGTCTCGTGGTCCTGCCACCAGGCGCGGGACGCGCAGGGTGCTGAAAGTGCTGGAGGCGACGCCGGGGGAGAACCTGGCGATGATCACGGACATGGTGCCATGGGCTTTTCCCTTGCCTCCCCCCCCCCCCCCCCCCCCCCCCCCCTGCCCCATCCCCCCGCCCCATCCCCCTGCCGCATCCCCTCTCTTACCATCAGGCGTGGGACGCGCAGGTGCTGAAGGTGCTGGAAGCGACATTGGAGGAGAACCTGGCGATGATAGAGGACACGGTGCAGTACTAGCCTGCCATGGGCACATCTCTCCTTTCCTGTCCCCTCTATCACTCTCTCCAGGCGTGGGACGCCCAGGTGCTGAAGGTGCTGGAGGCGACGCTAGAGGAGAACCTGGCGATGATAGAGGACACGGTGCGGTATTTCACTGCCATGGGTCGCCACGTGATGCTGGACGCAGAGCACTTCTATGACGGCTTCTCCGCCAACCCGTGAGGCCCTCGACTCTCCCTCCACCTCCCCTCCTTCCATCCCTTCCCCTTCCCCCTGCCTCGTCCCATCCTTCACCCAACCCCGCCACGTCATGCTTGACGCAGAGCACTGCTACGACGGCTTCTCCGCCAACCCGTGAGTCTCCTTCCTTCCCACAACCTCAGTTCCCGCCCCTCAGTTCTCTCCCCTCAGTTCCCTCCCCTCAGTTCCCTCCCCTCAGTTCCCTCCCCTAAGTCCTCTTCAACAGCACCCTCCCCTAATTCCTCACTTGCACCCTTCCCCTTCCCCTTCCCCTTCCCCTTCCACTTGAACGACGGTTTCTCTGCCAACCCGTGAGCGCCCTTCCCACAGCATCTCCCCCCAATTCTCCCCTCCTCAACACCCCTCCCCAATCTCCCTCTCCCACCCCTCCCCAACCCATCATCCACCTCATCGCGTCTGTCACCCTTTCCCATTCAGGCCCTTCCTCATAGCCTTCTCACTCCAACCCCCTTGCTCTCTCACCAACCTTGCCCTCTCACCAACCTTGCCCTCTCACCAACCTTGCTCTCTCACCAACCTTGCCCTCTCACCAACCTTGCCCTCTCACCAACCTTGCCCTCTCACCAACCTTGCTCTCTCACCAACCTTGCCCTCTCACCAACCTTGCCCTCTCACCAACCTTGCCCTCTCACCAACCTTGCTCTCTCACCAACCTTGCCCTCTCACCAACCTTGCCCTCTCACCAACCTTGCTCACATACCCCCCTTCCAGCGAGTACGCCATGCACTGTGTGCGGGCGGCAGCCAGGGCGGGCGCCAAGGAGATAGTGCTGTGTGACACTAATGGGGGCTCCATGCCATGGCGCGTGCATGTGAGTTGGGGGGAGTGCCATGGCGCGTGCATGTGAGTTTGGGGGAGTGCCATGGCGCGTGCATGTGAGTTGGGGGGAGTGCCATGGCGCGTGCATGTGAGTTGGGGGGAGTGCCACGGCGCGTGCATGTGAGTCTTGCCTCATAGCATGCCATGCAATGCCACATGCCATGCCACATGCCATGCAATGCCACTTGCCATGCCACATGCCATGCCATGCCACGCCATTTCATGCTATGGCGCGTGTCACATAGCATGTGATGTATCCCTCCTATGACCATGTCATGTATCCCTCCTATGACCCTGTCATGTATCCCTCCTATGACCATGTCATGTATCCCTCCTATGACCATGTCATGTATCTTTCCTATGACCATGTCATGTATCCCTCCTATGACCATGTCATGTATCCCTCCTATGACCCTGTCATGTATCCCTCCTATGACCCTGTCATGTATCCCTCCTATGACCCTGTCATGTATCCCTCCTATGACCCTGTCATCTATCCCTCCTATGACCATGTCATGTATCCCTCCTATGACCATGTCATGTATCCCTCCTATGACCATGTCATGTATCCCTCCTATGACCCTGTCATGTATCCCTCCTATGACCATGTCATGTATCCCTCCTATGACCATGTCATGTATCCCTCCTATGACCATGTCATATATCCCTCCTATGACCCCGTTTCAAACTTCCAGAACCACATTCCCACCAATTTTCTGCACCTCACTCCCGTCTCCCCCCACCTCTTCAGGAGGTCACCCGTTTAGTGGTGGAGGAGCTAGCAAGAGGCGCAGCGGAGGGCGTGTGGGGGAGGGATGTGGGAGTGGGAGTGCACTGCCACAACGACTGTGGCATGGCCGTGGCCAACAGTGTTGAGGCCGTGCGGGCGGGAGCGAGAGTGGTGCAGGGGTGTATCAATGGGTACGGGGAGCGCACTGGCAACGCTGACATTGTAAGTTCTAGGGGTGTGGGAACCTACTGCAGGGGTGAGTGAGCATGCACGTGGCGCTAAGTGGGGATGCTACGTGGGGGCGCTAAGTGGGGGCGCTTAGTTGGGGCGCTGAGTGGGGGCGCCTCACACCTGCACCTCAAACCTGCACGTCAAACCTGCACGTCAAACCTGCACCTCAAACCTGCACGTCAAACCTGCACGTCAAACCTGCCACCTCAAACCTGCACGTCAAACCTGCACCTCAAACCTGCACCTCAAACCTGCACCTCAAACCTGCACGTCAAACCTGCACGTCAAACCTGCACGTCAAACCTGCACGTCAAACCTGCACCTCAAACCTGCACCTCAAACCTGCACCTCAAACCTGCACCTCAAACCTGCACGTCAAACCTGCACGTCAAACCTGCACGTCAAACCTGCACGTCAAACCTGCACGTCAAACCTGCACGTCAAACCTGCACCTCAAACCTGCACCTCAAACCTGCACCTCAAACCTGCACCTCAAACCTGCACCTCAAACCTGCACGTCAAACCTGCATGTCAAACCTGCACGTCAAACCTGCACGTCAAACCTGCACGTCAAACCTGCGCCTCAAACCTGCACGTCAAACCTGCACGTCAAACCTGCACCTCAAACCTGCACATCAAACCTGCACATCAAACAAACCTGCACGTCAAACCTGCACCTCAAACCGGCACCTCAAACTTGTAAATTCTAAGAGCTGGGTTCAAACGTGGGTGGGTTGGGGCGAGAGCGGTGCAGGGGTGTGTAAATGGGTACGGGGAGCGCACCGGCAACTCTGTCATTGTAAGTTCTAGGAGGTGGGTCGGGGTTGATGTGAAGGCTGGATGCAATCTCTCTGGGTACTTGTGGTTTAGAGGTATGTGTTTCATGCCTTCATTGCATTTTTTTTTTTCTCTCCCTCCTGCCCTCCCTCCCTCCCTCCCTCCCTCCCTCCCTCCCTCCCTCCCTCTCTCCCTCTCTCCCTCCCTCTCTCCCTCCCTCCCTCTTCCGTTCCTCCGTTCCTTCCCACTCTCACCCTCATACCCACCCCCAACGCTCCAACCCCTCACCCATGCCACGTCATTGCCAGGTCACAGCCATCGGGATTCTCCAGGTGAAGCTGGGCTGCGACTGCCTGCCTCGGGATTCGCTCGCCAGGCTGGCGGAGATCTCCGGGGAGATTGCGCGGGTGGCAGGCCAGCCGCCCAACCCCGCGCAGCCATTTGTGGGAGCCAACGCGTTTGCGCACAAGGGGGGCATTCACGTGGCTGCTCTCAGGAAGGTGGGTTGTGTGGGTGGCAACGCTGAGGTTGTTGCATGGGGGACCAGCAGGTGGGTGTTCAGTGCTGCAAGCTCTTTGTGGGAGCCAATGCGTTTGCGCACAAGGGGGGCATCCATGTAGCTGCTCTCAGGAAGGTGCGCTGTGCGTTGTGTTCAGTTCAGTGCTGCCAGCTCAGCTTGTGCAAGTCAACACGTTCTCCCACAAGAAAGGAATCCATGTGGCTTGCGCTGAGAAAGGTGCGCTTCCTTGTCTTGTAAAAAGGTGAGCTGTAAAGAGGTGATCTGCAACTCCGAGTCAATCCCACAAGACCCCTTTCAAGCTACTTCCGAATCAACTCACAACACACCCTCCTCTTCAATCCCACCCCCACCCAACCCCCAATTCCCCCTCGCACCAGATGCCTGAGGGCTACAGCCACTCCAACCCCTCCCTCGTGGGCAATGGCATGTGCTCAGCCGTCTCACACCTGTCTGGCTGGGGGAACATTCTGGAGAACGCGGAGCGCTGCACCCTCTGACCCACTGCACCGCACTGCACTCCTCTGCATTCCTTCTGCCCCTCGTCCCTTTCATCCACCAGATGCCTGAGAGCTACAACCACTGCGACCCATCCGTAGTGGGCAACGCCATGCGGTCAGTGGTCTCCGACTTATCTGGCCGCGGCAACATTCTCGACAAGGCGGAGCGGGCAGGGCTGGACCTGGGCAGGGAGGAGGCGGGGCGGGTGTTGGCGCGCATCAAGCAGATGGAGGCGCGCGGGTTCGCCTTTGAGAACGCCGCTGCTTCCGTGGACATGCTGATTGTGCGGCGAGGGGCACGCTACCAGATCCCGTGAGTTGTAATAGCGGGGTGGTGGTGCCTTTGGGGGGTACTTTTGCGGTGTTGGCGTGCATCAAGCAGATTGGCCTTTGAGATTGCCGCTGCGTCTGTGCACATGCTCATCGTGCGACGAGGGGCACGCTACCAGATTCCGTGAGTTGCTTCGCCTGCTCCACACATGCCCCTCACCTCTCTGCCCACCGCCTTTGCTTCCCTTCCCTTCCATTCCCTTTCCCATCCCTCCCATCCACCCACCCACCAATCACCAGCTTCCACGTGTTGGAGTTCTCAGTCATCTCCACCAACCATCTGGGCGTGCCACAGCCCGTCAAAGGCAGTAGCAGCAGCAGCAGCAGTGGGGAGAGCAGTGATTCCAGTGACGAGGAGGGAGGGGTGGAGGGGGTGCAGGGGGAGAGGAGGGAGAGGAGGAGGAGGGAGAGGGCGAGTGAGAGGGAGGAGGCGGCGTTGGTGGCGGAGAGTGAGTGGATGGAGGGCGCCAGCTGTAACAGCCAGGCCATCGTCAAGGTCCAAGTGGGCGGCATCAGCCAGGTACGGGTCCTGCCCAGGCCAGTCAAGTCAAACCAAGTCAAGGCCAATCAATGCAGTCAACTGTTCCCTGTTCTCCTGTTCCGGAATAAGAAACTCTCAGACATCCCAATCCTTCCCTCAGCCATACCCTGTAATGCCTATAATGTCCTCTCTCTCCTCTCCTTTCTCCATCTTCTTCCTCTGTCTGATTGCTGTTGTCCTGTGCTTGCGTACCTCTGCTCCCACCACCCCCTCTCTCCCTGAATGCTTCCACCATCAGATGAGTGCTGCGGAGGGCAACGGGCCTGTAGACGCCCTCAACCATGCCCTGCGGTGAGTCTGAGTCACTGTGAGGAGTTCTGTGGTGGGTGCAATTCAGTATGATGCGCATGTGATGCTGTGATAAGGACTGTCTCATTCCCTCGCTTTGTGCGGCTGACTGCTGGGGCCCACTCACCCGTTCCCTGCCCTCATTCCCCACCCCACTCCCTTGAACCGCTCTGAACCGCGCAGGGCCTCACTGGATCCCCACTTCCCGCAGCTGGCGCAGGTGGAGCTGGTGGATTATCGTGTTCGCCTGCTGGAGCCCACTGAGAGGCGCAGCGGCACCATGTCCACCACTCGTGTCACCATCGACTTCTGTGATAAGAGCTCCGAGGCCACGTGGACCACGGTATGTGTGCAGTGCAGCGTGGTCCGGTGTGGTGCGGTGAGGTGTCGCACGGGTTGGTACGAGGGTGAGAGGCGCAGTGGCACCATGTCCACCACGTGGTTACCATCGGCATCTGTGATTGGAGCTCTGGAGTGACGTGGTCCATGGTCAGTTCTTAGTGTGGTGCTGTGTGGTGTGGTGTGTTGAGGCTCAGCGTTTGGGGTAACGCTGCAGCACTGGGATGCATTGTTGCACTTGTGGGAGTTGCTGACTGTTTTAAACACTTGGTGTTACCTGTTTTGCATATCCCTCCTCCCCTCCTCCCTTCCTTCCCTCTTCCTTCCCCCCCCCTCCTCGTCTCCCCCCTTCTCCTCTCTTTCCCTGCTCTCCCTCCTCTCAGGTGGGAGCGCACTCGTCCATTGTGGAGGCCAGTTTCCGCGCGCTCATAGACGGGCTCGAGTTCGGCATTGTCAATTGCAACGAGGTACTGTAGATGCAACGAGGTACTGTAGATGCAACGAGGTGTGGTAAGTGCATCGAGGAAATGCAACCAGTTGCTTCTGTATATAAATGGAAATAGGTGCTGAAGCAGTTACATGACCACAGCAGGTCCCTGCTAGCCCTCCCAAAAGCACCTCGCTCACCTCGTTCGTCTCCTCCCTCCCTCTATTCCCTCCTACCCTCGCCTCCCATCAGTCGGGGTGCAAAATCTGAAGCAATGCGATGCGATGCGAGGGATTTCACGCAACAAGCCAATGCATGTGGTGCCCAAGGACACGTGCACATGAGCTGTGCACATAAGCTGTGCAAGGCTCTGGCCTCATGGTAACGTTGAATGGACTCATTTGGGAGAGGAGAGGAGAGGAGAGGAGAGGAGAGGCCCCTCATCCTGCCTGCCCGTGCATGCGCTCGTGCATGCGGCCACATTTGACAACATTTCTGTTCGCGATGGTGTGGCTTTTGCTTTTGCATGCTTAGAAAGGCGACTGGTTTGCTGCATGCGCCCGTGCGAGCTGCACATTGCGTGGCATTCTCTCTTCACACGCAAGTCTTATACTACTAGGAGAAGCAGGGCGGTTAAAGAAAAGGAGGGGAAGAAGCTGAAGTGACAAGGCAGTCAGGAAGCAACATCTCTTGGAGGCACTTCACCTCACATGTTGGAGGCACCTGTAATGGTGCCTCCTTCCAATGCTACCCTGCATGTTCCTGTGTGGGTGGTGCACACACTAGGTGGCTGCACTTGTGCCAGACTTGTATGAGTTGACTTGTTTGACTTGCTTGACTCTTGCGTTGTGCAGTGATGCAAAGGGATAAAATGAATCTCTGTTGCAGCGCGGCCAAATAACAAGTGAATTGCGTACCACGTGAATCCCTTCTCCAGGCAGCATTCTGCCCAAAAGGAAATCTACCCGTGGTGTGGTTTTACAACAGTATCCATACCATATCATACAAAGCATGGCTCATAGTTTGCCTGCATCTCTCAAGCATGGCTCATAGTTTGCGAGTCGCCATCCATGGCGTCACCGTCACCCGACGTGCCTCCCCTGCCATCGCCCAATCATCGCAATCGCGCTCGCCCTTCCTCTGCCTCTCATCGCCCCTCTTCTCTCCCTTCCCATTACTCAACTCGTTGCTATCGCGCTCGTGCCAAATCTCCCGCACATTCCTCTCTCCCTTCCCTTCTCTCGCTCTCTCCCATCACTGCTCGTCACATCTCTATCTCCCCTCACTGGCCGCATCCTCGCTATCTCCTTTCGCTGCCCGTCACCTCAACCTCCCGTCGCCCGGGCTCATCATCATGTCGGGGAGCTCGGCGGATGGGAGGCGGCGGTGATGCTCTGCGACCAGCGGGCGGAGATGGTGCCCGTTGCGCGAACCACGTGCTTCACAGAATCGGTTTTGTGGAGCTGTTAGTGCGCGCTCGCGCTTGATGTTGCGCTGGCTCTGTCGCGCTTGCTATCACCGTCGCCCTTCCCCTCTTCCGTCGCCCATCCTCTCTCCGTCGCGCTCAGGCCTCTCGTTATCAGTGTAAAATACCCTTTTTGCACTGACTGGCGGCCGCTTTTTTTCAGTTACCCTTTCCCAGGCAGGGTACTGGGATTTTTACCCTAGGCCATTAAGTGAATTTTTTTTTTTCCCTTTGAAATACAGCGTGCCACAAATTTTTCCCTGACTGTACAGGGTACTTTTTCAGTTACACTGATACGGATTTCTTGCAAGCGAGGATTTCAAAACTTAACAGAATGCGAAACGGACAACAAGACCACCAGTCACAAAAAAACAATATCACCCCCAGGTGGAGTCACGCGGAGTTTCCACGCGTCCTGCCATGAAAGTACAACATTGGTGGAACAGGCAGCCACCATGCCAGCGCAACACAGAATCAAGGCCAGAGCAGCATTTGACAACTGCCAGACTTGTCTAGTAGCGCGCCGACAGGACAGCGGGGCTGCCATCCTCCTTTCGTGCTGAACAGAACACACCCTGGCAGCCACAAGTGACCACCGTGAGCCATGCAATTACGCGCTCCGGGGTCATCATGGGTGTTGGAGGAGGGGGTCGTTATCCCAAGAACACCCCATCTTTCTCATCCTTCTCATACCCTCAGTGTGAGAACCACCCACTGGGAGGTCTCTCATATGTGGTAGTCATGCCTGCCGAGCAAACTCCTCAATCTCCTGCGGTAGTGCGTAATGGCCTTTCTGTGCTGGGAGTTATTCCTCCCCCTTCTAAGACATACAGCGTGCCCATCTCGCCGTTGCCACCACCCGCTTCTCCCGTGCGTAGTGTGGGTATTGTATACCCGTTCGAGCCGCCGTCGACTCCTGCTGACTGGGAGCCGCACCCGTCAATTGTTCTCGTGCCAGGCGGTGGTGAAGGGTCGTCTAGACCCTCCGCAGCTTCACCGTCCACTGTGAGCAGCACCCCGGGGAAACGCCCGCGTGTGGGAACGAAGTACACGCAGCAGCGGCTATGGGGAGCCCCGCCACCCCGCAAAGAAGCTTCACCGCAACGTCCAGTAGCGACCCAAGACGAGGCGCCCGCTAAAACTACCGGTGATGTTGTCTACGAGACCATAAAGCATCGGTTTGAGACGGAGTGGCAGGGTAAATTCAAGTGGTTGCGTCTTATTCGGATGCCTAACGGAGAAGCAAAACTCAAGTGTGACATTTGTGTGCAGCATGGCGACCCCGCAGCTCACACTAGCTACGGTGTGAGAGGTGAAGGTGGCCGCGACCTGCAGATAGGAAGCGTCCGGGCCCATTCCTGAACACGAGCCCACAAGAGCGCGGTCAAGATCCAAGAAGAAGCTGCAGCTGAGAAGGAGAAACAGGCAAAACTAACACGGTGGCAGTCAACTGACGCGTCTACGCGTCACATCATTCGCGTGCTTCATATTGCGCTTTTTATCTGCAGGGCGGATGCACCGATCTCGATGTTCATCCCGCTCTGCTGGTTCTTGGCAAAGGAAGGCCTTCCAGACCTTCCGAACGGTGGCGGATATGGCGCCTACTACATTGAGTAAGCGCTTGTTTTTTAAAAGGTAGCCACGCGTGATATTCACATATACTGATGTTGTTATCTGTTGTTATGTGCAGATATGGCTTCAGAGAGAATCTCCGGGCCATCTCAACGTACCTACAAAAACTGCAACGATCGCACTTGCTGGAGTCGCCTTGGATTGGCTTGTCACTGGACGAGAGCACAGACCGAATCCACGGCAAACATCTAATCGTTTACGCTACTTTTTTCCATGGCACGGGTGTGGTCAACGAGTTCATAACTCTCATCACTGTTGACCGTGCTGATGCAGCCTCTCTGACCTCTGCTGTGGTGCAGTACCTGACAGGGATTGGCTTGGATCTACAAAAGATCTCTGCCATTTCAACGGACGGCGCTAGTGTCATGACAGGCAAGAACAGCGGGGTTGTCGCCCGTCTGTGCATGAGGATCCCGCACCTCGCCTCCACGCACTGTGTCACTCATCGGTGAGTGTCTCTCCATGCACTCGGTGGGAAAGCGATGCACCATTCTTAACTTCATTACTCACAACTCGTACTTTGATTACTTGGCAGGGAGGCTCTAGCCGCAAGCGATGCCGCGGATGCTGTGCCTGAACTTTACATGGTTGACGACGTCATCCGTGGCTTTGCAGATCTCATCTCGCGATCCAACGTCAAGTACGAGAAGTTTCATAACATTCAGCATGTTTTCTGCAAGACGAACCTGGAGGCACAAGGTATACACACCGTTCGCTGGCTGTCACGTGGTGAGGCCGTCCGACGCTTCCTCGAGATCCTGCCTGCAGCCATCGTGGTGCTCAAAGAGTACAACAACGACCTGTACGAGATCGCCACGTCGTTCAAGTTTCAGTGGTTGCTCCGGCTGCTTGCTGACGTGTTGTGGGAGCTGAACCATCTGAACCAACGATTCGAGCAACGGCAGGTAAACGAATCTTAAGTATATAGACTGCTTACGCCCAGAAAGGTGTGTCGCTAACCCTGTCGTCTGTACTGTCTGAACAGATCGACGTCACGCTCGTGTCTCATCTCGTGGACCAGACACGGATGCGCATCAAGAACCGGTACTTAAACTTTGAGCCGGATCATCACTTCGGGAGTGGAGAGAAGATGACACTGAACGACTTCATTCAGCGTCATCAGAAGATGGACAAGCGGGAGGTGAAGGCAGAGGGCGTGGACAGTGACGCCAACCCTGTGGAATTCAGCTATAAACTGCACGAGAATCCCATCGAAGGGCAGGAGACGGATGGAGATGTAACGGCTTGTTTCGAGCTGTCGCTGAAGTTTGTGCGTGCTGTCGACAAGGAGCTGGAGTGGCGGATGAAAGACCTGGAGGAGCTGGAGGGGTGTAAGCTATTTCGATCAGCCTCATACGTACCTGACGACGCCAAACGTGTGGAAAACTTCAAAAAATGGCTGGCTCAACTGCACAAGCTCTACAGGAAGAAGCTTCCAGGTATGCTCGTAGACCTCATGGTGTGTACCTGTCTGTTTTGACCCATTCCCTTCAGCGTTGTTTTCCCATCTGCTTCTACTTTATTCAGTCGTAGCGATCGGCACACTCTCATAACTACTCGTCTGATCGCTTGTGTATCTCATGGATTGTTTTTTTTAATCCTCACCCTTCCACCCGATTGCTGCGAGTATTGTCAGAACATTATAGCTTATGCTTTTGTGTAGGCTATAGTGGGGTATCCCATAGGGGGTACAACCCAATTAGGGTTAGTACTTGTACCCACTTCATTCATAGTTCATTCAATTTCGCGTTCACTCTTTCACATGGAATCAGAGCAGGTCCCCTCCTAGGGACTGTTCCCAGGGCCCACCGAAGCGCGCCCCGAGGCGCGCGTTCCTTTTTTTTTAGCGACCCTCCGTGTCGCCCCTAGCGGCCCGTTACGCCGCCCTTACCTACGCGGCCCCGCCGCCCTTACCTACGCGGCCCCGCCGCTCTTACCTACGCGGCCCCGCCGCCCTTACCTACGCGGCCCCGCCGCCCTTACGTCGCGGCCCCGCCGCCCTCACGTCGCGGCCCCGCCGCCCTCACGTCGCGGCCCCGCCGCCCTCACGTCGCGGCCCCGCCGCCCTCACGTCGCGGCCCCGCCGCCCTCACGTCGCGGCCCCGCCGCCCTCACGTCGCGGCCCCGCCGCCCTCACGTCGCGGCCCCGCCGCCCTCACGTCGCGGCCCCGCCGCCCTCACGTCGCGGCCCCGCCGCCCTCACGTCGCGGCCCCGCCGCCCTCACGTCGCGGCCCCGCCGCCTCACCTTCGCGGCCTCGCCGCCCTCACCTTCGCGGCCCCGCCGCCCTCACCTTCGCGGCCCCGCCGCCCTTACCTACGCGGCCCCGCCGCCCTTACCTACGCGGCCCCGCCGCCCTTACCTACGCGGCCCCGCCGCCCTTACGTCGCGGCCCCGCCGCCCTCACGTAGCGGCCCCGCCGTCTCACCTTCGCGGCCCCACCGCCCTCACGTAGCGGCCCCGCCGCCTCACCTACGCGGCCTCGCCGCCCTCACCTTCGCGGCCTCGCCGCCCGTGCCTACGCGGCCCCGCCGCCTTCTCCTACGCGGCCCCGCCGCCCTCACGTCACGGCCCCGCCGCCCACACCTTCGCGGCTCCCCTCCTGCCGTGCCGCCCGAGCAGCCGCCCGCCACGCCGCCCGGTACCAGAGCAGCCGAGCCGCCCAGCAGCAGCCGCTTGGCCGCCTGGCCGCCGAGCCGCAGTTCAGCCGAGCCGCCCAGCAGCAGCCGCCGAGCCGCCGGGCCGCCGAGCCGCAGTACAGCCGAGCCGCCCAGCAGTCGCCGCCGCGCCGCCGAGCTGCCGAGCCGCCCCGCAGCCGAGCCGCACTACTGCCGAGCCGCCCGACCTGCCCTGTCTGGTGAGCACAGCTCCACTGCTACTGCGTGCCCTTCCCCCACTGCTTGCACTGCTAGTCTGTCGTCATGGCTACCCCTAGTGTCCTCGCTTTTGATGCTGAGGGTCGAGCCATTGACTTTGAGGTCTGGGTCGACTACCTGCAGCTGTTTTTACAGTGCGATAGGGCGGACGGTCTTTCTCTCTTTGACCTCACCTCTGGCGCCTCCCCTGCTCTTGCTGCTGATGCTGACCCCACTGTTCGCTCTCAGTGGGCCACCCGCGATGCTGCTGCACGTCTTACTGTGCGTCGCCACCTGCCTACCACTGAGCGCGCGCACTTTAGTCAGTACAAGAGTGCTCAGACCTTGTACGACGCTGTAGTTGCGCGCTACTCTTCCCCTGCCACTGCTGCACTGAGCCGCCTGATGCTACCGTACCTCTTTCCTGACCTCACTGCCTTTCCTACAGTCGCTGACCTCGCTGACACTCGCTACCGCGCCGCACTTCCTGCTGAGTTCTGCGCCAAGAACCCCCCCCCCCATGTACATCGCTCTCTATTACATACTCACTCGCCTCCCTGACTCCCTTCGCGTAGTCAGGGACCACTTCCTCTCAGTCTGTCCCACCACCCTCACTGTCGACCTCCTCGAGAAGGCCCTCCTAGCGGCGGAGAAGAGCATAGTCGCTGTAGGAGCCTCTCGTGGTGACCCGCGCACCCCCATCTTTGAGGGGTGTTCTCCTTCCCCCCTGCTGCCCTCTGTTGCCTCTGCTGCTGCTGCCGACCTGCTTGGTCTTGAGTCGGTCGGCGCGGCGTCTGCCCCTAGCGGGAGACGCCGCCCTGGCAAAGGCAAGGGTGGCAAGGGCGCGGGTGGAGCTGGCGGGGGCGGTGGAGGTGGCAGTGGCGGAGGCGGAGGGAGTGGGGGTGGCGGTGGGAGTGGTGGTGGGGGTGGTGGTGGTGGTGGCGGCAGCGGAGGCGGCGGCGGTGGCGGCGGCGGCGGTGGGAGCGGAGGCGGCGGTGGTGGCGGAGGTGGAGGCGGCGCTGGCGGAGGAGGTGGAGCCGGTCGGGGTAGTGCCCCGCAGCGGAGCGGCTCTGGTGGTGGTCCGCGCCAGCAGCAGCAGCAGCAGCAGCGTTCTCGGGACATCCCCCCGCCTCAGCAGCTCCGTGAGTGGTACACGCAGCGTCAGCGTGGTGGGGGTCTTGGCCCGTGCACCTACGTTCTTCGTTCCGGCGACCGCGCGGGTGAGCAGTGTGGGGGTGCCCACTCCACCCAGCGCTGCTTTGGCCGCCTGACGGACGCTTGGCGTCAGCAGTTCCCCGAGGCTAGTGAGATTCCCCGCTGGGGAGAGCTGTCTAGGGCTGGCGTAGCGATCTTTGATCTTGACTTTGATGCTATCCTCACTGCCATGTATGCTGTGAGTATTAGTGATGAGGGTGACTGTTACCGGTGTTTCCCGCCCGACCCGGGCATTGGTACTGCTGCGCTAGGTGCTGGTGAGGCTACTGCTCTAGGTGCCAGTGCGTCTGAACTCTCAGGTACTGGTGAGGCTGCGCTCTCAGGTACTGCATCGGCTTCGGCCTCCCTCACCTTCACACTTGACTCAGGGGCTTCTCGCTCCTTCTTTGGAGACCGCACCACACTCACGCCGCTTGGTCGGCCGGTTGCAGTCTCCCTGGCTGACCCCTCTGGGGGTCCTGTCCTCGCTCACTTCTCCACTGTCCTCCCGTGTCCGGCTGCCCCCTCGGGCACCCTGTCGGGTCTGTACCTCCCCTCGTTGTCGACGAACTTGGTGAGTGGTGCTGACCTGCAGGATGCGGGGGTTCACCAGTTTACTCCTGCGAGTCAGCGGGGGACCCACTGCTCGGACGCCCGCACAGGCCGACACCTAGCCACGTTTTCGCGTCGGCCCGGGTCGAGTCTCTACACCCTGACCATTGAGTCTCCTCCAGTCCCTGCGTCTGGCCAGGTAGCTGCGTCAGGTCAGGTGTTTGCTGGTGCGTCCCGGTCTGGTCTTGAGTCTGCCCCCTGCTCGTGTCGCCTCCTGTCTCACGAGACTCTCTTGTGGCACCACCGTCTTGGCCACCCCTCCTTGCCTCGTCTTCGGGGCATGGCTTCCCGTGTCCTTGTCTCTGGGCTCCCCCGGTCTCTCCCTCCCCTTCCTTCGGGACCAGGACCTTCCTATGTCCCCTGTGTCGAGGGGCGGCTCCGGGCTGCCCCTCACTCCTCCCAGTTTCCCCCGACAGAGGCTCCTCTGCAGACGCTTCACATGGACGTGTGGGGCCCGGCCCGCGTCCGTGGACAGGGTCACGAGCGCTACTTCCTGCTGGTGGTTGACGACTACTCGCGTTACACCACGGTCTTCCCCTTGCGCAGCAAGGGTGATGTCACTGAGGTGTTGATCAACTGGATCCGCGCAGATCGTCTCCAGCTCAAGAGGAGCTTCGGCTCGGATTTTCCTGTTCTGCGTCTGCACTCTGACCGAGGTGGGGAGTTCTCCTCTGGCCTTCTGCGAGCCTACTGTCGTGCACGGGGGATCCGCCAGACCTTCACGCTTCCGGACTCTCCACAACAAAATGGGATTGCTGAGCGCCGCATTGGCATGGTCATGGACGTCGCTCATACGTCCATGATGCATGCGGCTGCCCCCCATTTTCTGTGGCCGTTTGCGGTTCAGTACGCGGCGCATCAGCTCAACCTTCACCCCAGGGTCTCCCGACCGGAGACCTCCCCAGCTCTGCTGTGGACGGGGAAGGTCGGCGATGCGTCTGCGTTCCGTGTCTGGGGATCTCGGGCGTTTGTCCGCGACTTGTATGCGGACAAGCTGTCCCCTCGTGCTGCTCCCTGTGTCTTCTTGGGCTTCTCCCCTGACGCCCCAGGGTGGCAGTTCTACCACCCCTCCTCTCGTCGTGTTCTGTCCTCCCAGGACGTCACGTTCGACGAGTCCGTCCCCTTCTACCACCTCTTCCCCTACCGCACTCCTTCCCTCCCCCCGCCACCGCACTTCCTTGTGCCAGGTCCCCCCCCGGTAGACCCCCTTCCCCCTCAGGGTCCTGCCCCTTCAGGTGTGTCCCAGGTCGATGTAGTCGAGCCGGTCGAGGTTGCTGTTGACTCAGGTACTGCTGGGGGTGCTGAGCCTGGGGGTGCTGAGCCTGGGGGTGCTGACTCTGGGGGTGCTGAGTCTGGGGGTGCTGAGCCTGGGGGTGCTGAGCCTGAGGGTGCTGCCTCTGGGGGTTCTGAGCCTGGGGGTGCTGAGCCTGGAGGTGCTGCCTCTGCGGGTGCTGCGCGCGGGGGTGCTGAGCCTGGGGGTGCTGCGTCTGGAGCTGCTGAGCCTGGAGGTGTGGAGCCTGCGGCCACTGGACCTCCCCTTGTGGCGTCTGGCGGTGCTGGGCCTGGAGGTTCTCCGGGTGTTTCGTCTCGGCGGGAGCCACTCTCTCCACAGGAGCTGCGTGAGTGGTTTGCTCGCCGCTGGAGGCGTACTGCTGGAGCTGGCGCTTCTTCGACCGCTGAGGGTGCTGGTGCAGTCGGTCCCGGAGCTGCTGGGCCTGCGGGTCCGCCTGGAGCTAGAGCTGCTGAGGGTGTTGGTTCCGAGACTACTACTGTCAGTCCTGGTGGTGGTCGTGCTGCGGGTGCTGATGGTGCTGCTGGAG